TCCTGTTTTCAGTGAAGCTAGAAAAATAATCCCTTTAGTATACAGGAGGAGTTTGTGATTCCTGTTAGGGATGACCTTTATTCTGAAATAAATTAACTCTTCTCCTGACATGGAAATGAGAACTAGGAGTCTGTTTATATTTCTGAATCAGTGCTAAATGAAATTTTAAAGCAGTTATCATCTTAAGATAACGCTAGCAAAGGAAGGGCTAGCTGGGCGTGCTTGTAGACAGATCTATGGAGTAGGCAGGTTACAAATAATACAGATTCGTATTTCCAGTTGAAATAATTAAATTGTAATTAAAGTTCAGGAGATCTGCCAGAGGACTTTATGTAAATGATTTTTATTTTGAGGTTTGTTTCTACCTGTAGTTGTTTTCTTTTTGGAGTTGCAGTGACTTCTGAGGTGTTTCCCTCTTCCTCCTGGCACCAGTCACCTGGGTACCTGCAGCCCCTGGTGCCAGATTAGCACGGTTGTTCCTGCATGAAGGTATTGATGTACAGATAATGCTGAAACGTCTCGTCTTGTTCAGTCTTGAAACGATAACTCTGTGAACAGGGACGCTGTAAAATTACTTTTCCTCTGAGACAGAACTCGTAGCAGGTTTGAGTAAAGTAATCAGCATCTTCTCAGATGCTCAGCTTGCGTTTGCGGTAAACTAACCTGTTGGAAGATTCAGAGTTGTTTACGCAAGTTTTCTACAGAATTTCTTTAACCAAAGTTTAGATATATTTCTTCATGAAGGCCTCACGGTGAAGATTGGAGACTTCGGTCTGGCGACTGTGAAATCGCGGTGGAGCGGATCTCAGCAGGTGGAGCAGCCCACCGGTTCAATCCTGTGGATGGTGAGCCGAGCGTTGCAGAGAGTTGGCTTTCGTTCTGTCAATGCCTGTTCCTCAGTTGAACGTTTTTTTAAAGCCTTAAATTGAAGTGAATCAGCAGCTGCTGTTAGCGCTGTGCAGACTTTCACTCCAGTTGTTGAAGAACGAAGCGCTGGAGCGCGTCGTTGTTGAAAGCAGACACCATTGACCCGGGGATGCCCTTGGGGTGACTCTAAATGCTCGAAGCAGGGACGGGGCTGTGGGGGGGAGCCGTTCCAGGGGAAGAGGAGAGCCTTCCTCCTGTTCTGACACTGCCTTTCCCCAGACGAGCTTGTCTCCCTGGAGAGCAGGCGTTGGGGGGCCAGTGAGGCCGTGGCGTTCTCTCCTTCTTCAGGGCGGCCTTTTCCTGCCCTGCCCGAGGAGGGCTCAGCAGCATCCCTGCTCACGTGCTCACTGGTCGCACTTGTGGCAGGAGAAAGCAGATGGAAAAAGGGAAACGTAATTTCAAGGCTGTTTTTTTATCCAAACATTTTGCTGAATTTTCACGTGACCCGTTTTGGTTACTGCTGTGCACTTGACGTGAATCCAGCCCGTAGGCTGCCCCGCGATATTTCCCAGCTCTCAGCACAGGGTGGGCAGCGGCGCTCGTGGCGCGTGCTTCAGGGAAATGGAACCAGATAAAACCAACGTGCCCAGCACCACGCACTAGTCCATCTTAAATCTTCTGGTCCTTAGTGCTGGGTGAGCTGCAGGTGTTCATCAAAACAGGTTTCCCTTTGTAAAAACTTTTTTATTGCTATTAGTCTTGCAGCCTTCGCTGTTACGTAGGAATTTGCACATGGAGAAAAGTCAGGACGTGTTCATTAAGCATCTTGGGATGCTCGGCTGAGATCTGTGTGTGACCTCTAAGGTACACAAAACACCTGAAACAAAGTCATAAAACCAGAAATAGTTTTTTCTTTCAAAAACTCGAACAAACAAAAAAACGCAAGAAGGTAGAATGTTTTACAGCTTTCCATGAACGGATTTGAAACTACTTGCTGGGGTTCTGTTGCGCGTCAGTTAGTGCTTTGCTCAGTAATTCTGAGGGACTTTGGAGGAAAAAAGCCTCGGTCAACAGGGAAGCTCTTGTGGTGATTTACACCTCGTTTGTTAAATCCTTCAACGCTGTTGAAGTTCTTCAGCTTCTCATTTTTGCTCTGTTGTGCAGAGGTGAGAACGCTTGTGTGTGTGTTTCTCCCCGATCTTCAATAGACGCTGTTTGGAATTTGGCTTTCCCGTTGCACGCAGGTTGGACAAGAGAGGAGCACTTTCCTCTTTTTCCCCTTTTTGTGTGTGTGTTTCTCCCCGATCTTCAATAGACGCTGTTTGGAATTTGGCTTTCCCGTTGCACGCAGGTGTTTTGGCACCGGTTGGACAAGAGAGGAGCACTTTCCTCTTATTCCCCTTTCACGTCGAGACCTGTTTAAGTGATGACGAGAGTCTCGGGTTTAGTTGTGTGTCAGGTGTAACAGAAGTGAATAAATCTTGCAAAATGAAGTAATAGTTTTTCTAATGGTAAAATGCTCCTTGAATTAAAGCCTTGAGTTTTTGTTTACTCTCAATTATATTGGTGGGGTTTTTTCCTTTTTTTCTCCTTCTCTTCCCCCCTGCCCCCTCCTCCTGCAGGCCCCAGAAGTGATTCGCATGCAGGACAGTAACCCGTTCAGTTTTCAGTCAGACGTCTACTCCTACGGAATAGTGTTGTATGAGCTCATGACAGGAGAGCTGCCCTACTCCCACATCAACAACCGAGATCAGGTGAGAAACTTTCTTTGGATGCTGCGGTTCATTTCTGGACGTAACACATTTTGTTGTCCTCCAGAAAGGCAAGATGAAAAAAAAGGCAAAACAAGAATTGGAATGTTTACAACGTGATTTGTTTCGGCAGTAAACCCATGTGATTTAAATACCGACAGTTACTCAAAGGAAAAAAGAAAAGTAATTTTGATAAATGTTTTAAGTGTTCTGCTAATTTATTCATGAGTTCAAGGTTTTGCTGCATCGGTAAAGTCTCCTTTTCATGAAATACTCTGGTCTTACATCAGCAAGATTGGATTCAGTGCTTTTTATGAAGTGAAAAAAGCCCCAAACCAACAGTGGCTCATGTCAAACGTTTTGGTATCAAGCGCTGGTTTGTGTGATCTGGTCCTGGCGAAGTCGTGTTCTCAGCACTCAGTTAACCCGGGGATCTGAAGCGGCGCTTTAGTGCCAGAAACCTCAGCTCTTCTCAGCTGCTTCCCTTACGTCAGGGCTTGTTCTGGCGTTGTGAGTGCACAGCTCGCTCATTCTGTGCAGTTAAGACCGTTGGAGCTTTTTTTTGATCTCTGTTTTTGCTGATCCTCAGTTGTGGTTTGTGGTTTGTGGTTTGTCGGTGGTTGGTTTGGTTTTGTTTTTTTTTTTAAAAAAAAAGCTCTCTTGGAGAGGTGTGTGTGCATGGGGCTGAGCTGCTGGGTTTTAGCCCCTGTTCCAGTGCGCAGTCTGCATTCTGAGCACAAGAGACCAGTTCTGTTTAAGAGAGATTTTTCTTATTTTTAAGGCTGCCTACAAATTGGGATATTGGATTGTGTTTTAATTCCTAATATTGAAATAATTTGAAAGCTTTAATAATCATCACTGTTGCAAAATACGTGATGCCTGAACATCAAATAAGTTTTCTGGGGAGGGATAGAGTATTTCATGGAGAAAAACACCGAGACCTCATTTTAGCAAGGTTGTATTGATCTTTTTTCCTTTATTTTTGTTTTTCTGAGACTATATTAGTTGAAAAAGAAACAGTAGTGCAGTTAGTTTTGTTTAACCCCTCTTTCCCCCCATCCAGACCCTCGAACTCTCCTCAACCGATAAAACCTGTCACTGTTTTACCAGATAATGTCTTATTGATGCCACATAGTCCTACTGACTCTGTATCATCATCGATCCTACCTACACTGTAACTGTTCAGGTGACTGGAAGCTTGATGAAAATCCAAAACCACGACCGTCTTAACTCAGACTAAACCCGAAAATGTAGTTTCTGACCCTAGTAATGTCTTTTTGTTGTTTGTCTGGAAACAAAAGGAGCCCCGTTTCCTTTCTCGCTGCATCAGCTCTGGTTTATTTACGCCGACCTCTGGGCTCGCTGCCGCACCACCGGTCTCACGGAGGCCCCCGAGAAGATCTGCGGGGCTGGGCTGGGCTGGTGCGTGTGCCTCGGGCACATGTGTTTAATCCCCCCGCAACGCTAAAGCTGTCGGGCAGTGCTACGACTTCTGCAGCTTTGGTTTCCTGCTACGTGCCCATTGTTTTTCAGATTATTTTCATGGTTGGCCGAGGGTATGCTTCCCCAGACCTCAGCAAGTTGTACAAGAACTGCCCCAAAGCAATGAAGAGGCTCGTGGCAGATTGTTTGAAGAAAGTTAGGGAAGAACGACCTCTGTTTCCACAAGTAAGTGTGTTTTCCGATGTATTTTATAGCCATTAGCGCACAGAACGTTCTCCAGGCAGAGGTTTTGGTTTCTATGAAGTGCAGCTCGCTCCCCGGTTCTGTCTGTAGTTACCTGTGCGTTTTCTCACCCAGCTCCCTTCGGCAGTTTGTAATTCTGAGTGTACCTCGTCCCTGTAAAGGTCATGAAGAATATTGCGCTTGCATTTACGTTACACTAACACGAGGGAAATTAGCTTTTAACAGCTAACCTGCTTTAGAGATAAGCACAAGAAAAATCAAATCTAGTGCGGATTTAAGGGAAGTAAGAGACCTTCCCAGTAACTATGAAGAAGCAAACAAAATCCCCTGGGGGGTGTAAATTCATGTAGCAATTTCTGGTATTTTTTACAGAGGGTATTTCGATTTTCCTGCCACTGTGACGATGATGAAGATACTTTCTTATTCTCAGTAAATAGCTGGAATTAAACACCAGCAGGTTTTGGAAAATTGACTTCATGCCGTTATAGTCCAGCCTAACTTTTGTCGTTTAAAATCTTGTTTTGTGAAGCAGACTGCGAGGCAGAAGATGCAATTCTTCCCCTGTCACTGCTGGAGAATTGCAGAGATGCTTGTTCATTGGTGATAGTGCCTGTGAGCTAACGAGACGTGTCCTCCCATCCTCCGGCCCTCAGGGACTCCCTCAAAGCAACGAAACCGTAGGGCAGGGCTTGATTATTCGCACTGGCATCGGCTGTGGTGCCTCCACGGTTTGTCGTTGCTCTTAAAGAGACGCTTAACGCCGTGATAAATGAAGGTTAGGACTTGAATCGAAAGAGCTGCTTGGCTCATAACGAGTCTCCTCGTCTTTCTCCTGTTCCCCTCAGATACTGTCATCCATCGAATTGTTGCAACATTCTCTACCCAAAATCAACCGGAGCGCTTCGGAGCCATCCCTGCATCGCGCCGCCCACACAGAGGACATCAATTCCTGCACGTTAACGTCCACGAGGCTGCCCGTGTTCTAGGGGTGCTGCTCCCCCTCCCCTGCTCTCCCCAGCCACGGGAAGGGAACAGAAGGAACACAAGTCGCGCCTTTCATGCCTCAGCGTACGGGATCAGCGCCAGCAGGATTATCTGCATCCCGGCTGTAAGAACAAGCTGCTAAGGATTTTCTGCAGTCCTTGCCCTGCAGGGAAACAGCTCCACGTTGCCTTTTTCTACAGTTTCTTTTACTGGGATAGTTAACTGACTACAAATCAAGAGATCTATTACTATTTTTTTAATAGATGCACTTGAGCCTTATTTTTCCCGTACACGGAAGCGATGGGTGTTCCTTTGGCAGTGTTTCTGGATTGATTTGAATCTGTTGATAAATCGGTGGGGTTTTTTTTACAGCAAGGAGGGCTTGCCGAGGCGTTTTGAGGAAAGACGACGCGTTATGGTGCTCCTCCGTCGACTGCCCTGGGCCTCACGCCGCTTCAGGCTGGGGGAGATGCGCCCGAGATGGGGCTCAGCAACCAACACTGAGGGGGGGAAAGAGGAAAAAAAACACAAAAAAAACACACAAGAAAAAAACCAACAAAAAAACTTCCTGGAAATCAGCTCCTGCCTAAGAGCTTTCGTCAAGCCAATGAAATAAGTTAAAATGCTAATTCAACACAGAATAGTTTTTTGCAATAGTTTTGCACATAGAAGAAAAACTCTTGCAAAAGAACGGAATGCCTCCGGGGTTGTACCGCTCAGAGAAGGAAGCCAGCCGGTCTCGCTACGGTCATCTTCAGTAATTCAGCAGCTTACTTTGGTACTAGTGACTTGTTCCTTGCAGCCCAGGGAGGTGGCGAGTGCAGAACAGACGGGCTTTGGGGGCTGAGAAAGGCTAATTAACAGTATCCGTATACTTCTGCAAAATGAGCGTAGTCTTCATCCCAGCTGAAGCTGTCGTCCAAGAGATGCACTATCAAGAGGAAACTGAGCGTATACAGGTTTTTCGTTTTTTTTTTTCTCTTGCTGATTTGGGTTTTAATTTTGTTTTTATTGCTCCTGAGAAAATGCATTTATTGTAAGCCGAGGTTCCTCTGATTATCTTATTTTAATAAAATAAATTAAATTTTAGGTTTAAGAGCCAATGTCATCATTTAACGTAACAGTCGGTAGTTCTGACACGTACGGCTAAGTCGGAAAACCTCAGAAGCCAACGTCCTGAATGATGTTGAAGAAATTACTGGGATAGGTAATAGCAGTTCGAGTGAAAACACACTTGACACGCCGACCAGCACATTTCCACTGTTGTCATCCTTCAGCAGCATCTACACAGAGCCCTGCCCTGATGCACAGTCGAGCTCTCGGACCGCCCCGTTTCTGCGCTTTGGGTGCCGTGAGCCTGTCGTGTACTTGGGTAGAAGCGAGTGTTTCATCTTGGCTGAACTCCCCAGATGACACGCAAAAACTGAAAGAGGTGGTTTAATCTTAAGAATTTATTTTTAAACAACATCCTGGTTAAATATGAGGCTGTTAGGGCAAGAACAGCAGCCAACGTTTCCAGTCTTAGAAGGGCAGCTCAGGGGCTTGTGCCCGTCTCTGTGCACACGGGTAAGTGCGAGGGGGCTGCTGGGCACAATGATTTTCCTGGGAGTTCTGACAGCTCACACTTGCAAACTCTTTGCTGCCTGGCGAGGCCAAACAGCTCGTTCAGCTCCTTGGAGGATGAAAAAAAAATATAAAAATCCCCACCACAGCAAATCACCCCCCAAAGCACGTGTGCCACAGAGGAGTGACATGTATGAGCCAAACACGTATGTAAACAAAGGACCGCCCTGACTGTTCACCTCAGCACCTCGTACAGCAGGGTAAGAAGGGTGCAGTATTAATCCTCAGGTGATAATTGAGCATGACAGTAAAATCCAGTTGCTAAAAACTAAACTGAGGGTTGAAGGAAACTGCTCGACATAGTTCTGCAGGATTTTGAATAATTTTCTGGGTATTTTAACTGCAGCCCTCTCTCACTAGCTTCTGCTTACTTGACGATTGTACCCAAGTGGGTTAATGCCCTGGTACTCGGTAGCAGTTTTTGTGTCCGGACTCACTCAATTTTTAGTTGTAACTGCAAAGCGGATACAAGTGACGTGGCAGAATTAACTCCCCTTATCGAATTCCACACTCAAATTGCTTTTGCTCAGAGGTTTTGCAACACAAACAGGAATTAAATCTTTAACAAAACCAAAATTTAGTAATGATTCTGGTCACACCTCCTGAACCCTACCATTGCTGTCCTTCATCCGAAAAAGGCTGACGGTGGGCGGCCAGAGACTGAGGCCTCCCAAAGAACGGCTACAGCTGTTGCTGTTCTAGAGTTGCAAGCTCTAAGATCGCTGACAGGAGGAGATTAGAAAAATCCATTAGTTACTTCATTTAATCTTGCTACTTCATTTAACTGACTCAGGGTTTCTCTCCCACTTAAATACATCTGAACTAAATAAATTTACTACTGAAAGAACTAGTTAACACTCCTTTTACAGTTCCCAAAATCCAGTTTGTGCTGCAAGTGGGCTTGAGCTGACTGCAGTGCTCCTTGGCCTCAGTCTGCCCATCACTCTGGTTGCATTTCCTCTGCGATTGGTGCGCCACGAGCTCCTCCTTGCCTCTCCGCGGGTTAATTATTTGAAAATGAAGGTGGGAGCTGACCTGGTCCAGTCTTTGAGAGGCAGGCAGTGTCCAGGCACCACTACTGAGTCAGCAAACCTGATTCTGAACTCTACCTACTACTTTTTGTGTTAGTTCTTAACTCCTTTTTAAGGAATTAAAACTCCGACACTATTCTCAGTGGGTTTTTGTAGATAGACGTTCAGTTGATGTAGTGGGGGGTGGGGGCAAGCACCCAAAATAGATGTAGTAGCAATTTTTAACAGCCTCAGCTGTTAACGAGACTACCGCCTGGCTCACAAGACAGCATCTGGGAGGGCAAAGAGGGAGACATCCCTCTGGGGTTTAAGGTTTTTTGTTGTTGTTTTTGTTTATTTTCCCATGGAATCCGTTAAATATATCTTAGTATTTCTGTTGCCATACAAAAACTATCTGAAAGCTTTACCAGGAGGACTGCACATGGAAACCACAGGGCACGTTCACTCTAACTGTGCTGTATAAAGTAAAAGCATCGCTGAATCAGCAGCTGGATTGCTGTCGAGGAAAGCACCTGTACGGCTCTTTATTGGGAAGTTACAGAATCTTCCTCGGCCCCGGAAAGGTGCATGAAAAGTTCTCCCAGTTCCGTGACTTCATCGCCCGTGCTGGTCACAGTCCTGCTTTCTCTATCCTCGATGAAGTCCCACAGCCGAACGGAATTGAAGAACTGCAACAGAAGAAAATCTGACTGAGCGGGGACCAGAACTTGCCACGGTTTCAGCAATACATTTTCCCTTACCAGTCTTTCTTCAGTTAAAAAAAAATAAATAAATAAAAAGAATCTGAAGTTGAGATTCGAAAGCTGAGATTTACCAACACTCGGCAACACCTGCTGTGCAGGTTAAAGTCAGGACGTGCTCCGTGGGAGCAGGGATGTCTGACGGGCCCGTGCTAACGAGCTGTAGCCACGTTAACGCAGTGGCCCTGCCTCGGCCAGGATGAGTTTGAGAACTGTGAATCTTTTTCGCTGCTCTGGCCAGCTGCGTGAAAAGCTTTATCAGCAGTATTCCTTCAACAGGTTTGCCGTGAGAAGGAGTAGTTGAAAGAAAAGAAAACAATAACAAGTTCTGCTATTGAAGGAGAAGTGCCTTCTCCTCTGCCAACCACCCACCGTGCGCCCCGAGGCCCTGCGTGGGGGGAACCCCCTCAGCGCATCGCCCCACCCTTCTGCCTGCCGGCAGCAGCCCCTTACCCGCACAGTCCCCTCGGAGCTGAGCTGCTTCCTTGGCTTTTCAGGTTCAGCCCGTGTCCCGTCGGGGTAAGCGTGAAGGTACAGACACTTCCCTCCAAACGGGCACGTTCCTTTCCCTTGTTCAAAGTACTTGCAGGGCTTTTTCCTGATACAATTAGAAGAGAGAGTTATGCCTTCAGCGAGTTCTCTCTCTGGGGCTGCCTGCCTCATCCTCGGCCAGAGACGCCAGAGCCGTGCCCGTTAACGCACCAGAGCAGCCAAAACAGAGGGGAAAGATGATTAGATGTGAACAAAGCATTGTAAGGCAATAAAAGTTAAACTATCTTCACACGTGGAAAGTGATGGATGTTCAAGCAATGGCATTGTTCCTAGCAAGGTTGCTATTTTATTTTTCTAGCAACATTCCTTCTCCTGTGGTTTCTCCTGTCCCTCTCGTCTCCTCCTTTGGGAGTTCTCTGCCAACACTGTGTTAAAATTCCATCAACTTCAGCCTTGGACCAGGCTGTTACAGGCATATTCCTAACAAAGGTGCTACAGCTGTGCTCGGGGCGGGGAGACTGCAATGAAAAACAGCTGAAAAGGAAAACGCTGAGAAAAAGCAACTGAGCTTGTAAACTCCCAGTGAAACTAGTGATCAGACTGGTTCCTTAGGCAGATACTGCCTCTCGAACAGCAACGAAAGCTCAACAGTAACAACAAACAAACCTTCACACTCAAACCAGCACAGATCAGGGGACGTCCTGCTGG